TGGGTGGCTCAGATGGTTAAGCGTCTGCCTTCGGCTCAGGTCATGATCTCAGGGTCCTGGGATCGAGTCCTGCATCGGGCTCCCTGCTCAGCAGGAAGCCTGCTTCTCCCTCTCCCACTCCCCCTGCTTATGTTCCCTCCCTCACTGTGTCTCTCTCTGTCAAATAAATAAAATCTTTAAAAAAAAAAAAAAAGTTCTTAAAACAAGAAAACTGCCTGTATTTCCTTGAAGCTAAACTGGTAAAAAAAAAAAAAAAAGTTCCAATTCACACCATTGAGAAATGGCTCCTCAGTGGGTGGAACACAATCTGTACCGTGTTTGTTCTAGTAAACTACAGTCACGAGTCCAGAGACCCAAGTCTTTGAGCCACTTTTCAGCTCAGACGCAAGACCTCTCATACCTTCTGGAAGTCATCGAACTTCTTCTGCAGCACCTCGACCTGCTCCAGGTCGGCGCCCACCTCCTCGCTGGTCAGGGCCGCCTCCTTCTCGTTGATCCACTGCTGCAGCTCGTTCGCCTCACGGAACAACATGAACCGCTTACAGCTCTTCTCCAACATGCCCTTGCGCTTCTCGCCCAGCTCCAGCAAAGAGTGATACCTGAGGTAATTGAAGAGGGTGACAAGAGGGGACAGGCAGGCATTTAGCTTCCTACAGAAGCTAACCTAAGGGCAAACCACCGGTGTCTCTGAGATGTGGGTCCAAGGCCATGAGTGTGTCATGATGGTGCCCAGGTGACAAGGTGTCAGAACACAGATGAAGATGAAGCTCCTACGGGCCCGCTCTACGGCCTCGGGGATAAGTACACACTTGCTGTTTGCCACTGGGTGGCTCAGACAGCCGGGCACACTCATCCCCGGGCCCATTTTGCACTTAGAACATCACAACCACAAATGACTGGAACCAAGCATCTAGCACAGGAACACGGGGTTCATGCGAGCACAGCTGAGACGAGATGAGCGCGCTGAGCACAATGCAGACAGAGGTCCTGCTCCACTCTCGTAACTCCCTGACTGCCCCAGGTGGTGGGGGAAGGCATGCCCATCTTACAACAGCCTTGTACAGGGCGTTAGCCTCTCTGAAGGGTAGGGGAGTGATACATTGACTTCTCAGAAAGTTTTAGCAACTTCAGAAGGAAAACCAGGTCGAATACAGAATACATGCACCACTTCAGTAGTTGGAAGATTTTTTAAGAAGATTCAAAGAATATTCATGCTCTTATGAGCTAAAATACAAAAGACTGAACTACTTATACTATCTTTGGAGATGTGAACATGACAAACTTAATAAAACTAAGTTAAAGACTAAAAAAAATCCACCATCACCATCAAATCTAAGCTTTTCAGAGTGAGATAAAAAAAGCAACGAGGTACCAAGACTCAAAGCACTTTAAAGGGAGGAATTTCGTTTCCTTCCTACTGAGGAACACTACGTACCCTGCCTTCAGGTTCGCTGCCGAGAGTGGCTGGCCCACCACCAAAGCCAACAGAGGGGGGACCAACAACACTCTGAACACACAGTTGCACATAGAAGCAACCCAGGAGACAAGCGGCCGACTGACACGGTGCCACCGAAACCTCTTCCCTGGTGAAGCTGCCACATGGCGGCACAGTCCCCCCCACCTCGTCTTTCTGGATGAACAAGTGCCTTGCAGAGAAGCGGCAGAGGGAGAACGGACACGGGCGCTCGGCAAGGCCGCCCGCCTACTCACAGTTCCTCCACCTGTTTCATACGCAGAGACACACTGCCGGCCTCCTTAGTTACGCGCGTCCTGCACGGGGGGGGGCACAGCAAAAGCACGCACAGATTAGTGGGATTAATCCACAGGAAAGGAGAGCGGCAGCTCCGACGGGCGCCAGGAGGCTGGATGCTTCAAGTGGGGGCAACTGAGGAGCCATTCAAAAGCTCTCGGAAGCAGGCCAGGCCACGAAGGAAATCAGTAAAGAAATAGCCGGGAAAGTAAATTAGGGGGGTTAGTTTGCCTTCCTTTTCATGAACAGTCTGCCACGTTTAAGGTTGACAATTTTCCTTGTACCGGCAACACGGGGAACTGCACAGAGCAAGGCGAGGCAAGGGAAGGGCTGCCCCAAGATAGGGACCGGCCTGAGAGCGAATATGCTCCACCAGTCACATCTCAGGCCGGTGGCTTTGCTCCCACAGTTACGACCCTGGTCCAAACCACTCTCCTGTCTCAGCAGGAACGGAAAAGGTCTGGATGTGGACAAATACCTGATCTTTTCAGGGATCTCAGAGTCACAAAAGTTCTATTATAATAAAGTCTAGTGAAAACATATCTTCTGGATATCTTTCAAGTGTCCAAAACTTTTGAGCTCATTAGCAGAGCAAGACACCCTACAGGAGGGACACAGGTCGATATGGGAGCTTAGGTAGAGGACAGAGAACAGAGCCATTTCATGAAAAACCACCTCTGTCTCAGAGCAGAAAGCAGGAGAGAACCACTCTCCCAATAGCCTTTTAAAAGGGGCAGAGCTGTAGGCGTGTGGGACCTCTATCAACTCCAGAGCATCTCCCCAACTGAAGGACAAAGGTTCAGAGGGTGATGTTTAGAAAATGCTGTTGAGGAAGAGAAACTCACTTTAGGGGAAGAAACAAAATAAGGAAAATAAAGGTAACAGTCAAGGGTTTTAGGTCCACAGGGGTTAAAAGGGACTTGCGCAAAGTGGGAAGAGGGTGTCCTGAGTACACACGGGCACAGGAACAGTCGCTCCGAAGCCTCGGGACACTGCCTCAACCGTGGCCTACATGGGATGGAAAGTAAGCCCCGAGGGACACCTGGACCCTTGCGGTCGCCAGAATGGCCCTTACTGGTGGTCAATCTGCTCCTGCCGCACGGCGATGCTGCCCTGTTCCTCCAGGAGATTCTCGCGGGAGGCCGACTGGGCGGGGTCCAGCTTCTTCACGTACGCAGCTGGCACGAAGCCCTGCCGGTCGTTCACTTCCACCTTCCACCAGTCCTAAGGAGACACGCGGACAACTGAAAGCACCAATTCCCCAGGAAGGGAGAGAGCCAGGAGGCCTGTGTGCGCACACACATGCACACACGCACACGTGACAATGTCAAAGTCACTTTGTTCAAGGACTGTCCCCTGCCAAGCATGGAGAGCGGCACGAGAAAGCCGCAACGACACCCAACATGAGGGCAGCCCTCTCTTCGTCACACTCCACAACTTCACTAATAGTGTGACTAGCCACACGTGGCTGCATAAATTTAAATAAACTAGATCAAATTAAGTTTAAAAACTCAGTTATAACCAGTCACATTTCCATGCTTAATCATCACTGTGGTAAGAGCTACTGCAGAGCCAGCACACAGAAAATGTCCACCATCACAGAAAGTTCCACAGGACAATGCTGTTGAGTAAACCAGAATGAGACCAGAAGATGGTTGAGAGTCAACAGAAAATACAAATCACAGGTTTTCGCAAATGCTCATGATTAGGGTAAACTGGGGGTGTAAGAATAAGGGTCTTTAACGATGGCTGTGAACATTTCTCCAGCCTCAACTAGTATCTTTTGTGATTTATCGGACACGTGGGGTACCATGCGCCTCACTTCAAAGTCACTGTCAAACCAGCATATGTCAAGGAAGAAAGCTGCTGACCTGGGAAGCATGGAATTTCGAGAGCCTAGGGGTGACGTCGCAGCTGTTGTCAACTATCTGCTGTAGTCACACAGTCTAGGTTAAGAATCAACAGCTACAAGTTCCAGAAAAACAAACTTTAGTCTGAAGAGAAGGAATTTCACCCAGAGGTGTATAATCAGGAAAAGAAGCTACCTCGAAGAGTGTGAGCCAGCTCACTGCTTCCAGGTATCTGGGAAGATGGACGGATTACCCTCTTGATCTTCCACGAGATGGACCCGTATCAAGGGGGAGACTGGGCAACTCTGGTCTCTCCTCAAATTCTAACCCAGCTTCACTGCAGACACAACGACCCACAGACACCCCACCGAGCAAAACTGGTGGTGCTGACAGAGACATACAACCCCTTCCGACGCCTTGCCTTGTTGGTGCTGTTGAGTAAGGTGAGGATATCCCCTTTCTTCATGGTGACCTCTCGAGGGCTCTTCTCCTGATAGTCGTAGAGAGCCAAGACCAGCTCTTTCCCAGTCTCATCATCCATGGGGGCCACTTGTTGCTAAAAATCCCAAGAAGGGTAAACCCAGTTAAAGGATGTCCATGGTGTGTCACCCGGGCACACGACAGACTCCAATTTCAACTCCAATTGTACCAAACGCATATTTATGAGAGTTCTCCTCTGAAGCTACCAGTAAATTCTGATTCCAGAACTTTAGCTGTTCTGAATCTTAAGGAAAAAAAAATCTCATTTTAAACCGTTTATACATCTTTGTGTCACAGGACGTCGCAGTGAGGCCACCAGAACGTTGCCTACACCCGTCACACCTGCCGGAAGTGGCCGGGCCCTGCAGCTTCCTGAGCCCCCGCTGCACAACGGCTCAACAAAAGCCCAGCTCACCCGGCACGACTGAGCCTGGTCCCGCAGAGCCTGGATGCTGCTCCCATAGGCGCTGAGATCCGACATCAAAGCTTCGTGTTTCTTCAGTAGAGCCTGAAACCAAAATCACACACGGTGACCCGGGCGCAAGGAACTGGGGCGCCCCGGCCACGCTGCCTCACCGACCCGCTGCCCTCCCAAGATGTGCTCAGTTACATGCTGATTTGATCACCTCCCGCTCGCTCCACGCTCTCTCCCCATTTCTAACGAACATCAAATTTGGAGGACGTATTCTTTGTGATTCATAATACTGTCTTTTCTCCCTGCCCGTACGTGCCTACGCGGGGCTGGAAACAGACATGGAGACACAAGGCATAGTATCGCACACGTGGTGAATCCCCCGCCTGTCGTAAGAAATCAACATCACCAGCAAAGCAAAGCCCTCCCCGTGGCTACTCCTCTCCTCGCCGCACGTGGGGCCTTCACCATCACCCTCCACCACCGCTGCCCAAGCTTTTTAGTTCTCCCCTCCCCGTCTTCTGGGAGAATCCTGTATGCTGCCTGTCAGCACTCAACTACTCCGGTTTTTGTGCAGACTGGCAACCTAAGAGTCAGTACAAGGGTTACATCTAACCCGTCATGAATAAAATGTCAGGAGTTTCACTCAAAAACCCCAATTACTGGCAAAACATGGGATCATGGATATGTGTGCACACGCATGTGGAGAGAACAGATGGGTAAGAATGGCAAAACGCTTGTGGTAGGAGGCAGTTTCATCTCTCCTTCTGGCACGACTGTTTCCACAGCGGAAAGTAAATAACAGCTTCTAAAGCACCCTGAAAGGCCACCGACAGCTCGGAGGCCGCACCTGCTGCACACGGGCACCTTCGCAGCGGGACCCCAGCCTGAGCCCTGGCAGGCTCCCCACGCTCGCTCACCTCCGCGGAGTCCTCGTCCTTCCCATAGTCGGTGCTGCCCACGATGGGCTCCTTCTCCCGCATCCAGGACTCGGCCTCGTTGGCGTCGGCGAAGTACTGCTGGGCCTGCAGGGAGTCTTCCAGGTCCTGCCGCCGCTGGGAGGCCTTGGACTTCAGTGACTCCCACTTCTGGTTCAGTTCGCTGAGCTTGGTCTTCACATCCTCTGCAGCAAAGTGGCCTGGAAGGTGGGCGAGGGAAGGGAGGATAATGTAAAGGAGGATGCCACATCGCCAGACAGATAGGTCTTCTAGGTACCCACGACACCTCCAGTATGCATGCGAGCCAGGCCCCTATGAATCCCCAGTTTTAGGAGAGGCTCGGGTCCCAACCTTTTAAGTGATCGGCTCAATTTTTGCCTCCTCGAGCCATGATCTCTATCTGGACCCTACGAAGCACCAGAGATTGGACCAAAAAGACATGCTAAAAGCTTAACAGCGCCACCCCTACTCCTTGCTCACTGAGACACGCACCAGGCTGTTCCACACTGTCCCCTACTTGATCTCACTCGACCCTCACAACTACGTCAGGAGTAGGTGTTATTATCTGCATCTCACAGGTAAGATGTTCAGATCGAGAGGGTAGGGTCTAGTCAAGATCACACAGGGAGGAGAGAATGGGGAAGGTACTCAATCCCACAGCCCAATCTGACTCAAGTCCACGTACTTAAGCAAAGAAAGGACATAAGAAGAGCAAGAGCAAAGCCACTCCCTGGATGGTAACCACTCACCTTCCTCCACCATGGCGTTCCCCTTCTGGGTAACGGCTTTGATGCGGGGCTCATGCCCAGCAATTTCTGCTTGGAGGGCTTGGTGCTTCTTTAGCAGATTTTGGACTCCAATCAAATCTTTGCCTGAAAGCAGAAACCACTCCCTGGTCATCCAAGCCATCAAGAGAAAAGTCAGCCCTATCATTCTTAAGATTCCACCGGGGTTCCAGTTTAACTGAAACTTGACCTTTCTTGTTCTGACACGCACCTCCCTTATGCTATAAGGGTAGAGCCCCTTCTCAGACTTGATTCTTATCTGACGGAAGCAGACTGACCTCTGTTGGTGGATGCAGCAATGGGCTCTTTCTCCCGAATCCATGTCTCCTCATCCTCGACATCACGGAAGAGCTGCTGCAAACGCAGAGAATCAGCCAGCTTCTGCTTCCGGGCAATCATGGGTTCCCTGAGAGCCTCATAGCGAGCCACGAGGGCTTCCTGTTTCTTCCTGATGTTTTCTGCGTCAAAATGGCCAGCATCCTGGAACTGGCGGGCCTGAATGGTGATACCATCAATCCGATCCTGGAGATGGGAGAGGACAGAGGCTTGAGAGCGTGGACCAGCATCGGCAACTAGGTTCTGGACTGATCCTACTTCAATAGTGGTTTGATCATATACAAAGAAAAAGTAACACAATTTTCTTCCCAGCCCGGAGAGTATTTTTCTGCCATCTCTTTCCCTCACTGTGGGCTTCCAGAAAGCTCTGAGGAGGAGTTTAGTTGGAGAAGAATAGGGAACACATAAGGCTACCTAAGAAAATCAACACCTTTTATCCTTCCAAAAACAAGTGTGGTCTGGACGTCACTTGCCGTTCGTCACTCCTGTTTCCACACCACTGACCGGGCAACAGCCCCCAAGTCACACTCTACCTGGTGAGCAGCCACATCCGCCTCCAGCAGGGCATGCTTCTTCTGGAGGTTCTGGACATTGGTAAGGTCTTTGCCATAATCGTCCGAAGCCAAGTGACCTTCCACTTCATACAGCCACAGCTCAATATCCTCAACATTGCGGTTGAACTGCTGCTGCTGGTTCGCCTCGCGAAGCTTTATCCCTGGTCAAAGGAGCAGATCTGATTATTTATCTGTTAAGACTACCTTTCTGCCAATACTGCTCATGAACAATGGCCTCTTAGTGAAGGACTAGGGGTCAGGAGTGTAGTTACTGCTTCACCTCCTTCACAAAGGTAAAGAAGACAAATGCTGACTTGGAAGTTCTGTAAAAAGCCTCTGACCCCCCTGAGAGAAGAACGTCTGAGATTTACTGAATGCCCTTGGCTCTCAGCTGAGCTTTGATTTTCAGTGATGGGGCCCAGTTCAGTCACGGCTGGTTGACCGAATCACCCCCTTCTGACGCAGGCTCCCCCACTGACCAGCAATGTCAACCACATTTGCCACATCAGCAAAGCATTGACAATGCAAGGGAGGTAACTCCTACGGGGGATGAGCCTGCGTGCCCAAGGTCTGAGGGCCCACCTTACCTGGGTGGTTTATGTTCCTACACTTAATGAGGAAGGGACATGGAATCCCGCAGCATTCCTCTCACAACCCAGGGAGACACCTTCTCTTACCTTTCAGTTCAGTGGCTTCCAGCAACTTCTTCCATAAACTGATGACCTCATTCATACGAGCTGCTACCTCATCTTTGGCATAGTGGTTGACATCAATCAGCTTTTGCCCCGCTTTCTCCAGGGCATCGATGCGGCTCTGGTTGGCCGAGAGCTCAGCCTCAAAAGCCTGATGCTTCTGTACTTTTCCTTGTAGGTTGGATGGGTCCTGCCAATAAAAGGAAGAAGGGGGTTCTACCTTGCACCTGAGTATGGTCAAACTACCCTACTACGTTACCTTCGTACTTCTCTTTATGGGCAGGGGGCGGGGGTAGAAAACAGCCTACATTAAATAGTGCAGTTTTTGGAATTCCCTATCTCTTTCTTTAGCTACAATTTATCTGCGGGAAGTGCCTTTAGCTTCCCATCCAAATGCTACATGGCAACGCCGGCAGGACATTACTTTATAAGCTTCATCTGTGGCAGTTTTCATCTTCTCATTGACCCAGCTCTTGAGCTCATCGGAGTCGCGGAAAAACTGCTGCAGGTGGAAAGAGTCCGCCAGCTGGGCCCGGCGACACATGGCTCTCTCATGAAGGGCGTTGCGGCGGCTCAGCAGCTGAAAGACAAGGAGCCGCGTAAATCTCTGGTTCCTACTCCCCAGGGATTTCTGGCTCAAGAGGCTACATGGCAACACGCGTCTCAGAAGGGAGAGCCGGAGGTCGGAAGGAAGGCACGTGGAGAAGCCAGGAACGCACCGCATCTCGGCGGGTGGCCACGTCGTCCATGGCGTAGTGGTTGTTCTGAATCAGCTTGGTTGCAAACTCATCCAGTGCCTACGAGGGAAGAATCAGGGTTGTTCCCCGGGAGGCACACGGTTGCTCAGCGTGGCCTCCAGAGCGAAATAATTACTGACAGGTCACAAAACACTAAACCATCACACAGGTCAACGTTTCTCCTTCACTTCTGAGTGTTTGCTTGGCGTTGTTAGTCAGAGACAACACTGTTACACTAACTCCCTTCAGGACGGGAGACGTTTGCTGTAGCTGACGTCACGACACATCTGACAGGGTCAGACAGGGGTTGCCAACGGGTTAGCAGCCTTCCAGTTCTTGCCTCTAAGAACTGTTTTCAAGGGGAAAAATACCTCTCCCATGAGCTCTAGCTACTTTTACTTTTTAATTTTATTTTTTGAAGATTTTAAGTAATCTCTACACCCAACGTGGGACTCAAACTTACGACCCCGAGATCAAGAGTCACAAAGTCTGCCGACTGAGCCAGCCAGGCGCCCCGAACTCTACTTTCAGTGGAAGGGAAATGTCAGCGTGGAGGTTGACATCAGGAGAAGATCTCATCCCGTGAGCTATGGCAGGTCTCCCCCGAGGCCATGCTCCGCCACCACCATGAGATCTGAAGCCCCCACAGGGTCGCCTCTCACGCAGATCCTCTATCATGTCTGCTCGGAAACCCTCAAGAAGAATGGACTCTGGGCTGAATCTAAGGATCACCCAAAGGTACAAGAAAGGGTCTTACTGTAATTTTTTCCTCCTGGGCACTGAGGGATTTCTCAAAGTCCTCGTGCTTTTTGAGGAGTGCCTCCACACTATCCAAGGAGTCTCCCAAGTCTTCGTTCAGCAGGAAGGCCTTGAGAAAGAAAACAGAAGTGCTCAGAGGGATGCCCTTTCACCCCTTAAGGCTTTTGGCAAGCAAAGGATATGGTGGCCAAAACATGAAAAGGAAAGAGATTCTACAGCTATTAAACTTCTAAGATGTCTTCCAGAAAGCCTAACATCCTTTAGATTCACTTAACACTAATCTAAGAATAGGGTGAAGTGCTAAGTTCCAGCCAAAAACACCCAAAACGCCTCTAGAGTAAGAAGCAATCCCACACCAGCACACTCCTCTCTAAGCCCGGGGCCTGTCCCAAGGGCCTCCAATCCCAGTGGCGGGAAGAAAGTTGGCAGAGCCGCCAGGAGCCACTCGGCGAGCCCTCTTCACCCGATTCACAACCACAGTTTCCTGGTAATTTCCTGCCTGAAATAAGCCAGCCATCTGAACAGCAGACAAGAGAGAAAGGAAGCCGTGGCGGGCGGGCGGGCGGGCGGACGGGCGGACGGTACCTCCTGCTTGCTCATCCAGTTGTCCACCTGCTCGGTGTCGCGGTAGAAGAGCTGCAGGTCCATGCATTGCTCGTACTGCTGCCGCCGCAGCTCCCACAGCTCCAGCAGGGCGGCCCGCTCCTCGGCCAGGACGCTCAGCTGGGTGGGGGACACGGGGGCAGTGGGCGCAGGGCAGGTCGGCCACCCACCCCCAGGCAGACAGAAAGGTTGCCCTGACATTTCTAATCCTCACACTCATCTTCCGGCCTGTTTTCTGGTTGGCAAAAGGGGGCGTATCCCATTCACTTGGCTCAGCCAAGTCCCAGGGAACCACGCAAATCCCTAGTGGTTTGTATGTTTATGCGAATTAGGAGAGGGAACTCTAGTTAATCTAGAATTAATTTACTGCCATCAAATGATGTTAGGTCAAAATGCTAAGTAAACTTTAGGTAGAAGAAAAAGGGCATCTTTCTAAAAGGTGGGCAGTAAAAATGGGAGTAAGGCATCTCAGCTGAGAAAGGCTGACTGGGTGGGTGTTCCATAAAACATGGGAGGCTCACAAAGGCCCCAGGCATAAGTTTTACGCTCCACAGTTGACAACAAGTGTGTCTTTGAAATGTCTCTTCCTAGTCTACACAATCTTAAAACATCATTCTCTAATGTTCCTCAGGTATCTTCATACTCAGATCCTGTGGAACTTGCAAATCGTGTACACTTATACGTATTATCTGAAAGCAAGCAGTGTCCTCCGGTTCCACCACTAACGCAGGACTCAACTCCCCACAAAGTCCCCTTTAAGTAGGAAATGGGTCACAAATGTTCCAAATGGATGGAACTTTCTCCCTCTGATCAATCACCATCCTACACATAGGTCTTCTTCAGTCTCTCAAGAAGCTGCCCCTGAACTTCCCGGTGCGAGCTCTGTGGAAGCTTCTCGCATACCACGGCGACACAGCCTGGATATTAAAGGATGGATAACAGCTTTCAGAGACTTTCCGTTAAAGAACCTCTCCTCTCTTACCTTCTCCCTCACTTCATCTGAGGCATAATGGCCAGCGGCAAGCAGGGCCTGTCCAGACTCATCTGCAGATTTAAAGCTGTCCTCGTGAGCGTCGATTTCACCCTACAGCGAGAAAAGGCACAATTTATGCCCAGCAACTTAGAAAACAGAGATGCTGAATTTCACACAATAGTTACAAATCAGAATTTCCCATCTCCACCAAGGAGCACGATCAAAGAGGAGGCCAGGCTCCCTAACATCGGTCTGGGTTATCCAAGCACGAGGGCACCATTTACTGAGAAGTCTTTTTGCCACTGGCTTTTCAGGCCACCTCTGTCAAAGCCTGTCATGTTTCCATACATTCAAGGCTCTGAGCTCCGTCTTCTGTTCTGTTGGGCTCTCTACCCTCCTTGTGCTGGTTGCGGGGGTTGAGGATTTTATAGCACCTGGTAGGGTATGTGCTTCCCGATCCCACCCTGTTCTTCAAAATTGCCTCAGCTGGTTTTGAATTTTTTTCTTCCAAATCAAGTTTAGAATCAGCTTGTCTCATTCCAGAAACAAAGAAAGACCTGCAGGGTTTCTGTGTGGAATGGCACTGAGTGTAAAGATCCTGGGGAGAATTTTTCTACCTTTACAAGAGATCATTCCAGCCATGCATGAGATAAGATGTTCCCCTTTAGTCTTTCTTCAGTCTTTCAACAAAGCCTAACCGCCATCTTCGCAGATGTCTTACACAACTTTTGTTAGATGTATTCCCAAGTACATTATACTTTCTGATACAATTATAAGTAGCATTTTAAAAAAATGATGTGTTTCTGTTGCTAGTATATTTGACATTCATATATTGACTTTCTTACATCTACCATATTAAATATATAATAATTTTTTACGATTCTGTTTCATAGTGTTTTCCAAAACTACCTAGCCATAGAAAACCTTTCTTTTTAAGGGAAAGCCTATTAAGAGCTCATAAAACCAGTTTCCTGTGGAACACAGTTTAGGGAAAAACCAGAATAAGAAATTTAATTACACCAAATATGAAACTCAGCATTTAAACGAAGACACTGTTTAAGATGGTACATGACTGATGTACAAAACAGTAGCACCTCCATCTTGCCGGGGCGTGGCCTCTCACTTTTATGGACCACGCTTAATCTCCTGACATTTAACCTGTTTCACCATCTACGAGAAGCAGGCAAAGCCAGTCTCCAAAAGCAAAACCAACAACAATCCCGTGGTGAGAGCTACCTGTGAACAAAGTTTCAGCCACTCTGGCTGTAAGTAAGAGTCCCACCCCGATGTGTTACAAGCTAAGGCCTTTCCTTCTGGAAGATGTTGGAGATGCTACCTTGTGCTCCTGATGCCTGTCCAGCAGGGCTTCAGCCCCAGCCACGTCATTGGCGAGCTCATCAGCATTGATGAGGGCTTTCATCTCAGTCACCCAGCTGGTGAGGTCGCGGAAGTCAGCAAGGAAGCGTTGAAGCCTACAGAAAACCAAGATAAGCCATTAGATGTTCCCAGTGGAGAGCCCGGATGAAAAATGCCTTCTTAAAGCTCTGAATTCTGTCCTCAGACCATGCCAACTCTAGTCCTGGGACACAGAGGATTCTTTAGTCTGACCATAAAGGAAAGCAAGAGAAGGATGAAATCAATCCCTTAAAACCTAGGTCGTGTCCATCACTGTAATTCCCCAATCTGGTCCCTTCTCTCCAACTTCCTGGTCATTCCCCAGTTCTAGCTCTGCTCAGTAATTAGCATTCTTTCATTTCCCAGTCCTTGATTCACTCAATTTTAATGGTATATTCCACTGGTGCTCTGATCGCTAAGGAGAGATTTCCACTTCTACTGGTCATAATGCAGCAATATAGGACGGAAGAATATTCATAAAGTCATAAATACAATGTACACACACACACAGACACACACACACAGCAGAGTGGCCAGTCTCCAAACAAATACGACATAGGCAGGAAAAAGCCACCTGCACTTTCTTAGCACAGGAAGCTGGCAGGTGCACAGCAGCGTTCTCAGTATGCACAAGGGACCCCGAAGCCTGCCTCCCCGACTCTCTAAGAGACGTCCAACGGCCCAGGTCGCTGAGTCCCAGGAGAGGAGTCCCACCTGTAGGAGTCGTTGAGGCGGGCGTGTCTCTCGGCTGCCAGAGTCCGGATCTGCTCCCAGTTGGCAATCAGCTCCTCTCGCTTCACCTGAATCTGCGCGGCGCTCAGAGGGTGGGACTGCTGCAGGCGGTCGGCCTCGGCACACAGGGCTTTGACCTGGAAATGCCCTCCATCAGACTGTGCTCGTGCCCCCTGCTAACTTATGTATGGAACCGGCTGCTTTCTGAACCCACCTTGTCCTCCAAAGCAGCAAGATCTCTCTCCAAACCCTCGTGCTTCCGCAGCAGAGCCTGAACACTGGCCAGGTCACGGCCAAAATCGTCAGAGGCCATTAACTGCTCCTTTTCCTTAATCCAGCTGATAGTCTCATCCACATCCCTACGGAACGGAGACACCAGGGCAGCCACTTATGGCAACTGCCTAGAGCCGGGGCTGCCGCAGCGGGCCAGGCCCCAGGTGGCTCCAGCATCTTCTTGGCACGTGCCATATACTCGACCCGGCCCCCCAGGTACGTGTCCACGCCCGGCAGCCCGCCCTGGCTCAGTACCTGTTAAAGCGCTGAACCTCAGCCGCCCCGAAGAGCTTCCCCTGTCTCTGAAGGGCCAGTCCCTTCAGCCGCTGCCAGGCCGCGTTCACTTCATCCTGCTTGGTCTTGATGGTTCCCTCCTCGGGGTGCTGCTCCTACATGAGGGACAGCAGACTAAGAGAGGTCCAATGGCATGGGTCGCTGAGTCCCAGGAGAGTCCTGAGCCCCTGGCTCGTCCAAGTCTCTGCCTCAGCAAATCCTCTTTCTGAAGCAATACTGCTTTTATGCATGAAATGAAGCCAAGCTTGTTTAAAACTTGCCTCCAGGGGCACCTGGGAGGCTCAACTGGTTAAGTGTCTGACTCTTGATTTCGGCTCAGGTTGTGATTTGGGGGTCTTGAGATCGAGCTCCACGTCAGGCTCCACACTGTACGTGGAGCCTGCTTAAGATTCTCTCTCTCTCCCTCTCCCCCTCCCTCCCCCGCTTGCTCTCACTCTCAAATAAATAAATAAGTAAAACTAGCTTCCATTTCCTTTTACATAAAAAGGAAGGGTCATTATCTAGCCCTTG